CAGGGGCATGTACGTTGGTTGCAGGCACATCCCCAGTGGGGTGTGTGCAAGAGGCAGCTAGTCGGTGTTTCTCTCATCAACGTTTCTAGCTCTCTATCTCTCTCCCTTCCTCTCTGTAAAAAAAATCAATAAAACTATATTTAAAAAAAGACAGCCGAAACCGGTTTGGCTCAATGGAATAGAGCATCGGCTTGGGGACTGAAAGGTCCCAGGTTCGATTCCAGTCAAGGGCATGTACCTTGGTTGCGGACACATTCCCAGTGGGGAGTGTGCAAGAGGCAGCTGATCAATGTTTCTCATCAATGTTTCTAACTCTCTCTCTTCCTTCCTCTCTGTACAAAATCAATAAAAATGTATTTAAAAAAAAAAAACATAACCTGCCCTAACGGTTTGGCTCAGTGGATAGAGCGTTGGCCTGCGGTCTGAAGGGTCCCAGGTTCGATTCCAGTCAAGGGCATGTACCTTGGTTGCGGACACATTCCCAGTGGGGAGTTTGCAAAAGGCAGCTGATCAATGTTTCTCATCAACGTTTCTAATTCTCTATCCCTCTCCCTTCCTTTCTGTAAAAAATAAATAAAATATTTTTAAAAAAAACATATCCTCGGGTGAAGATTAAAATATATATTATATAAATGCATATTTATTTGCCAATTTTTGTTTGTAGGTCCAAGGTTTTATCTTGAGTGTGGGTGTACTATTGGATTACAAGTATCTTTCTTTCATACTCCACATCCATTGTGCATGACCTGTTTTTAATATATAGAAACGAAAATCTGAAAACAGTCATGAAGTGATTATGCACAGAGTACTCCTAGACCACTCCCTCCCCATCTTTTTCAGTTTGTTAATCCATATAATTTCTTAGTGACTTGAAATTATCTAATCATTCCAAAGCATTTGAAAAGCTCACAAAACCATTCTTTAATTCAAATTTCACTGGCTTATGTCAAATTTAATTACATTAGATAATTACAATAAGTACCATGACAAGAACAGATACAGAAATAAATACAACCGACTCCTGCCCTGGCTGGTGTGGCTTAGTGGTTGGCATGTCAGCCCATGGACCTAAGGATCACAGGTTAATACCGGTCAAGGGCACGTACCTAGGTTGAAGGTTCAATCCCAGGCCCTGATTGGGTGCATGTAAGAGGCAACCCATTGATGTAACTCTCTTACATCCTGTGTTCCCCTCTCTCTCTCTCTTCCCCACTCCCCCTTCCTTCCACAGTCTCTAAATATCCCCTGGTAAGGATTAATAACAACAACAAAAAAGCAACACATAGGAAGGCGGGGACAGGCTGGAGGGGGTTGATGGGGGGTAGGGGAAATTATGTGATTCTTTCAACAATAAATATTAAAAACCAACAATAAACACAGAGCTGACTCTTTGTAAACACAGATTGGTTGGAAGGCCACAAGGTCAAGATATATCAGATCCATAATTCACACAGTAACAGTGAGTGTTCAGTGCACCAGCTGATTAAAGCAGAGACTGGGTAAGAAAACGTTCACTATATATCAGATTCAAAGTACTGTAATAAAAGTTAGTTATCACAAACTTAAAGATTTTAATTTATCAAAATGTCAATCACAATTAGTAAAATTTGTAAGTGGGGAAATTCTCCTGCTATGGTTTCTTGTTTATCCATAGGAAAAGCAGCCAAGGTTTGAAGGAAAGGAAATTCATTTTCATCGTGTTTTGGTCTATTTGCTCTTCCATCTCTCTCACCAGGCTCTAAACCCCCGCAGTCTGTCACCTTCATAACTGTATCACAGATCCTGACACTTAAACTTGCTGAATACGTTCACACATCCTGAAATACTAGATCAGTATTTCAGTAGGCCTATAAATAAATTTCCTAGGGCTGATAAAACAGAATGTTAGAAGTTTTGGTTCACGGTCTACTATTTGCTAATATTTCCCATCTCTTTTTCATTACACTGTATGTATATTTCCTGATCCTGGTTAATTAAATTAAATCAGAGACCTATTTATACTTATACTACTACCATATTAATGCTAATAACATTCTGTAAACTAATCTTTTTTTTATTGATTGATTTGAAAGAGAGAGGAAGAGACATCGAGTTGTTGTTCCACCCATTTATGCAGCATTCATTGGTTAAACTTCTATGTGCCCTGATCAGAGGTGAATCCTGAAAAACTGTGGTCTATTGGAACTACACTCTAAACAACTGAGCTACCTGGCCAGGGCTAAATTACTCTGTATTGATTAAAATCATGAAAGTCCATTAAAAACTTAAAAATGGCCCTAGCTGCTTTGGCTCAGTGGTTGAGCCTCAGCCTAGGGATTGAAGGGTCCCAGGTTCGATTCCTGATCAGGGCACATACCAGGTTTTGGGCTCGATTCCAAGCAGGGGGCATGCAGGAGGCAGATGATCAATGATTCTCTCTCATCATTGATGTTTCTATCTCTCTCTCCCTCTCCCTTCCTCTCTAAAATCAATAAAAATATATTTTTAAAATATAATAAAATAAAAATGGGTTGAATGTCCTATTGAACTGGAATTTCAAATCCCCACAATGTGGCAGCTAACACTTCCAGTTTCTGGCACATCTGTTGAGAGTATAGAGGTTCTCCTGGAACTAACAAATTCTTCCCAGCCAACATGATCATACAATCTGAAAGTTGAGCAGAACACTAGAGAGAATTTCTGGTCCAAAATCTCTCCCAATTAAGGGATCCTATCAGAAACTACTCATGTTTTTTGGGCAGGAAGGGAAGTTGATCCAACATTAGAGTGTTGCACCCACAGTAGGCTCCTAATAAAGGCTTGTTTAAGTAAACTGAACAAGTCTAAAATGGGCCCATTTCATTAAACTTCTTGTTCTTCCCAGGTGTTAGGTGCACATCCACTGAATCTGTAAAGATAGGCATTAATCTTTTGCTCATTAACCAATATTCAAAAAGAAATTCAGAAAAAGATTAAAAAAAGAAAAAGAAATTCAGTAGAGAAAACTCCATGATCAGTCAAATCTATTAATATTAATGCTACTCATGTCAGTAAATAAGAAAACTTTAACAGAAAATCAAATTTTTGTTTGCTTATGATCTATAAAGGATTTCCAATGTATCCAAAATGCTCACGTTTTTAATTTCTAGTATAACGTTTTACAACAAAATCTTGTATCATTCATACAACTGAATTATATACCCTTCCACTTATAAGTGGGGTGCTCTCACACTTAACCATAGTAGTGTAATGAGATATATTATTATGCTAATTAGTTTTCCATCAGTTAACAGCTTGTGGTACCATGATTTCCCATAATCCTCCTATATAATGAAACCCTAATATGCAAATTGACCGAACTGCCGAACAACTGGTTGCTATGATGCACACTGACCATAGGGGGCAGACACTCAATGCAGGAGCTGCTCCCTGGTGGTGTGTGAAAGCGCTCCTCAGCCAGAAGCTGGGCTTAGGGGGGCCTCTCCTGCCTCTGCTGCAGGCAAGCAGTAAGGAGCAAGGGGTCCTGGACTATGAGAACCCAAAACTACACTGAGGGACCTCCCTCAGACCCCACCGCCCCAGTGCACAAAATTTGTGCACCTGCCATCTAGTATGATAGCGGGCCTCTAGTAGGATATAACAATGAAGAGAATAAAGGCTTTGCCACCAATAAATTTACTCAAGTATGTATTCCAAAACAGTACAGAATTTACAGCATGGCCTTGCTTAGTATTCCTATTAAAATACATCTGTTTGGGGGATTTTTACAACACATGCTAGGGCACAAAGTATACATTTCCAAATCCACTTCCTTCTGTTGTGTTAAAGGGGAACACACACCATCCCTCAACCCCACAATTAAGTGTCCTCCCCTCCCCCCAGCAATAATTTAAATTCCCACTTCCTCCTAAACATCTCTGGACGAACACTTCGGCCAACCCATCTGTCTCTTTCATCACAGCTTCTTTTCATAACTAACGGGTCAAGTTCCTTTCCCCTCATTTCAACACCATGCCCCGTTTTCACCACTGCCCACTGCCGAATGCTGGACTCTAACACACTGAATTTCCCTGTCCTTCATTGTTTCCAGTTTAACTGCCATTTTACCACCATGCACAGGAGAGAAATGCATTCCCACAGGCATCTTATGAATTTCCAACGCGCTTTTCTTTGTGAATTTACGAAACACGTTCCTTTTCTGAATTCCCTTTATCACCACAGAAACGGCTTTGGGAGGCTGAGATTTTTTTTTTTAAGTGCCTTCTGCAAAAAGAAACCGATTCAAAGCATTTCTATGTGGCCAGCAAATTCAATCCCAAGGGCCTTGATACGGAGCCGTAGAGGAATGTCAGGGCAAAGACCTTACATGTCGTTTCTGGCCTTCGCAATTAAAATGAAAAATGTTTCAACTCTCAAAGATTATCTTATCAAATATCTCTTCTGCTCAGGTTACACCAAAAGGGCTGCCCAGAGCATTATAAAATAGACAATTGGCTTTGGCTTTTGTACGACGCCCTAAATCTTACCAAGACACCCCCCCCCCCCCGGCCCCCACAGCCACACATAATCCCTCGGCCGCCCCCTAACCTGCCAAGGAAGAGGGCGATGTCCCGGCCACAAAGGAAGGGGCGGCCTGCCCTCGTGCCCGGCGGCCTCCGCACACATGTGCGGGGCTGACAAGCGCGGAGCTGCCCTTCCTGGACCTCCAGCCGGAGGCCCGACCGAGAGCCACACGCCCTCCCCGGCCGCCCTCCCCGGCGACGGGGCCTGGCACCGGGGGCCCCGCCGCGGCCGGCACCCCCTTCCGCCCGGCCCGCGCCGGAGGGCCAGGCTCAGACCCACTCCCCCGCGCCCACCGCCCTTTCCCTTCCTTCTTCGCCTCAGGAAAAGCCGTCGGAACTTCATTCGGGGTGAGCCCCGGAGTCCTGCCCCGAGTCCGGGCTCACCGTCCCCGACGGCCGCGCCCCCTCCCGCCCGCCTGGAAGCGGCCGCCGCCCGGCGCCCCCCGCCCGGCGCCTCACCTCCTCCTCGCTCTCGCTGCGGAAGCACAGGCACGCGGCCCGCTTCTTGTAGCCGTCGCCGTCATAGGTGCGGGTCTGGTTCGACTTGAGCTTCATCATCCTCCGGGCCCGGTGGGGGTGCGGTGCGGGGCGGAGAGTGGGGAGCCCGCTCCGGACGGCCGCGCGCGCGCGCCCCCGGCTCGGCCGCGGGAAGCAGAGAGGGGAAGCCGCTCCTCCGCTACACGGCTCCGCCGCCGGCCCGCCGCGGCCTCCTCATTCCCCACGGCCCAGGCCTCGCGCCGCCGCCGCCGTCACGGCTGTCGTCCCAGCTGCCGCCACGGCCGCCGCCCCCGCCGCTGCCGCCGCCCCCGACGACAACCGCGCCGCCATCTTGGGCGCGCTGCGTCAGCGGCGTAAGGCAGCGCCGGCCCGCGGGACGGCCGCGCGCTCTCGGCGGAGGCTGCGTTCGGGAATCGCGCCCTCCCCGTGCGCGCGGCGTAAACGAGCGTCTGGGCGCGGGGGCCGCGCGGCGCCAGGCGGCCTGTACGCCGGCAGCGTAGGGGTGGGGTCGGTGGGGCGCGCGCGGAGAGAGCCGCGGGGGGAAGGATGCTGGAGCCGGGCTTTCCCGGCGGCTGAGAAACGGCCAGGGAGGGGGCACCGCTATCCATCCCCGCGGCTCTGCGGACAGGGAAGCGGGAACTTGACCAAGGTCACGCCGCGAGTCCGCGGCCGCAGGTGACTCAAGGTCACGCCGCCCGGGTCTTGACCCTTCCAGTCCATCCGGGAGGGGGAGGGGCGATGTCTGGGGAACAATTGGGATGCGATTAAACCGGGGAGGGGAGCCCGTGCTGCCTGGGATTAGACACCGCACCGGATAGAGGGCATGTTTGTAGGGCGGGGCACGTCTCACTGACATCCAGAAGCTCTGGAAGTCCTATGAGCTGGGGCATGTAGCCTTTAGGACAAATGTTTATCCTGAGATCCTTTATTTGTGCAATAAAGCAAATGCGTCCTCTTAAGGTAAACATGAGGGCCGGAAAGGAACGTGTGTGTGTGTGTGTGTGTGTGTGTGTGTGTGTGTGTGTGTGCGCGCGCGCGCGCGCCATAGGCAATCATCGTTTCTGGCAATAAAAGGAGTGCATACTGTGGATGTCAGATTCTCCAGGAAAAGATATACAGCCAGACACTTTTGAGCTGGAGATCTGTGAATGTTATCAGCAGTCCAGACCGCCAATGCCTTAAACGTGTTGAAAAGCCTGTGCAGGGTTTGTGAATTGCTTATTAACCTTTTTTAATTTGCTTGTATTTAGCATGGTAAAAAAAAAAAATTAGGATTTAAAGCCAAACATTCCTCTGTAAAATAGAGATAATAATCCTTCTTGGCACCTGGCACATAGTTGGCTCTCACTATGTTGCAACTAGTAGTGACATTTCATACAACTTTTACCATATAAAATGTAGAATTTCAGTTAATTTTGGTCAGTCCTCATAACAGAATAACCCAAATCTTGGTCATTTTGGCTGTCTTTCTAGCTTAAATTCTGCTATTGTCTCTAATTTGGGGGGTGGGGAGGAAGAAATCCAAAAGTTCTGATTGTAGAAATACTATAACATTCACATTGTCAAAAAATTGAAAAATACAGAGAACCTAAAAATACTAAATTATGGATACTTTGAGCACCTTCTTTAGAGATTTGTGTCCCACTTTTTTTCTGTTCTTTCCCCCATGTTGTTATTTTTAAATACTATTGATATTTCTAAGTATCACCTAATATTCCATCATAGGGATTCACCATCAGCTATTTTTCCCAATTCCCATTGTGAGGTTGTTGTATCCTCTATATCTTTAGAACAGCAATGAACATCTGTACATAAACCCTTGTCCATAGCCCACATAGTTTCTCAAGATACATTCCCAGAGGCAGGTCCAGCCATTAGGAACATATCTGTGGCTCTTGCCCCCAGTTGCCAAAGCCTTTGCAGAAAAGTTGCAGGAATGCAATCATACCGGCGGTTAGACAGCCACACTGCACAATGCCACTTTATTAAAGCTGAGCGCAGAATGGCAAAAGGCATTGCAGGTGTCAGTACAAGAGCAAAGACAAGTTAGCTTGTAAACTTCTTGAGAGCAGTCTTGTGTCGTTTTCTTTCATATCCCCATCTCCTAGCACACCTTATAAAAAAATTAATTAAAAAAAAGATCTCAGGAAATGTTGATTAAATAGATGGATGGAGGTTTCTTGTTGGTTTCTAATTCCTTCCCCAGCTTTTATGGGCCTGTGTAGTGGCAAGAGCCCAAAAGACCACTCCCAGATCCCTTGTCTTAGTAATGATTACATTTTCTTTTTCTTTTTTTTAATATATTTTATTGATTTTTTGCAGAGAGGAAGAGAGAGGGATAGAGAGTTAGAAACATCGATGAGAGAGAATCATGGACCAGCTGCCTCCTGCACACCCCCCACTGGGGATGTGCCCGCAATCACAGTACATGCCCCTGACCGGAATCGACCCCGGGACCCTTCTATCCACTAAACCGGTTTCGGCTGATTACATTTTCTTGTTCAAGAAACATTAACAAAGTGATCCCAACCTTTTCTGGAAGACAATGAATAAACATCACATTTAAATTGATTAAAACATATAGTAGTTCCCCGCCACCACCTTACCCATGGTTTGCTTTCACAGTCTCCGTTACCTACAGTCAACTGTGTTCCAAAAATATTAAATGGAAATTCCAGAAATAAATGGATAAGTTTTAAATTGTGTGCCTTTGGAGCATGATCCTCCCTTCGTCCAGCATCTCCACACTGTGCACTTTGTCCCCTGGCAGGCACTCACTCGGTAGCTGTCCGGTTATCACATCGACTCGTGGTATCGCAGTGCCTGTGTTCAAGTAACCCTTCTTATGCTTAATAACAGCCCCAAAGCGCAAGAAGACAGCAGGTCCTCAAATAACATCCTTTCATTGTAACATTGCTGAGGAGTCAGAGGAACTGAACTCTTGCCCATGGTAAAATTGGTATTGTTTTAAGCAATTTCTCTTAAAGTCACAGGACCCATCGACAACTTTAAGAAAGGACTTACTGTAGTGATACTGGTAATTCAGATATGTCAAAGAGAAGCCATGAAGTCTCCCTTTAACTAAAAAGGTATATATATGTAGTGTATAGAAAAAAACAAACAGTATATATAGTGTTTGGACCCACAGTTCCAGTCATCCATTGGGAAGTCTTGAAGTTTATTCCCCGCGGATAAGTGGAGACTCTGTATTTATTACCTTTTATTACAGTTAAATACTTCAAAAGTCCTATAAGAAAAAACTATTACTATGTAAAATGTTGCCTATTTCCTTGTGACAGTAAATAGTGAGGTACTCTCCAGTTGCCTAAGGCAGAATGTGGTAGGCATCGCTATATCTCTTACCTTCTATCTGTTGACAATAAACTACATTGCCTCTTCCTCCTTGACATCAACCCAGCCTCTTCCCTCCTTGCCCACTGCCATTACGTCAGTAGGATTCTTCCTCTTGCCTCTTCTTGGCTACCATCCAGACATCCATTTAGCCCCTCTCACCCACGCAGCCAGAGGAGTCCTTCCCAAATGCAGATCTGAGTAAGTCATGGCCTTGATTAAAACCCTTCAGATGCTCCTCAGTGCTTTGAAGTGCAAATTCTAGCAGGTTGGCCCCTGCCAACCTTACCCTATAGTCTAGTCATTCTGAATTACCTACAGTTTCTTGAATCACTAGCCAACCTCCCGTCTTGAACACACCTCCCTGTTGTCTGGAGAGCTCTTCTTCCAAGAGTCTCATACACTCAATTGTCTGTCCCCTCAACGCAGAGAGAGGCCAAATTATATTTATCCTTCAAAACCTCAGATTAAAAGTCACCTTCTGGAAGCCCTCCCTGACTGCCTCTGTGCCTCCTATTGGCCTGGCCTGCTTTTATCATATTGTTTGTCACATAGTGTTATCATTGTTGTCTTGCCAGTCTCACATTTCAGAGTATTTTTTAAAATAAATATACATTTTATTGACTTCAGAGAGGAAGGGAAAAGGAGCGAGAGAAATGTCAATGATGAAAATCATTGATCAGCTGCCTCTTGCACGCCCCCTACTGGGGATTGAGCCAACAACCCAAGCATATGCTCTGATGGAGAATTGAACCATAATCTTCTGGTTTATAGGTCAACACTCAGCCCCTGAGCCAGGCCTGCTAGGCACATTTCAGAGTTCTTGAAGAGAAGGTCTGTGTCTCACTTATCCTTGATTGTTTCACTCAGCAGTTATCCCAGGGCCTGACATAGAACATATCTCAAAACAAACAAAAAAAAAAGTTGTTAATGAAAGAAAGCTATTGTCCTTCCAGAACCTGGTTGTTAGTATAGAGCTCAATCACTTGCCCCACGTGGAATGGGACTTACTTGTCTATAGGAGCACCGCTATATGACATACCTAGAGCTCTCATACATTGCTGGCAGAAATGTAAAATGATAAAACCACTTTTGAAAACTGCTTGACAAGATTTCAAAAAAGTTAAAAATAAGACTTATCCTATGACCCAACAATTCCACTTCTAGGGAATCGAAAATATATGTCCACAGAAAGCTTGCACAAGAATGTTCAGAAAGCCAAAAGTTGGCACCATCCAAGGTGACCACAATACAAGAATGGATAATAAACTGTGGTATCTGTACAATAGGATATTATTCATCAACCCAAAGGAACACACTCCTGATACACATGTATCACTAAGAATGAATCTCAAAAATATTACACTGAGTGAAAAAGCCTTTCACAGAAGAGTCATGCTGTATAATTCCATTATAGGAAGTCCTAGAACAAGCAGAACTAATCTCCTTAGGGGGTGGGAGGACCAGAAAAATAGCGGCTTCCGGATGGTGATTAACTGGGAAGAGGAATGAGGGGAATTTCTGGGATGATGGTAAATTCTGTATTTTAACAGAGGGTTGGGTTACAAGTCACATTGTCACAACACAGTGAAAGTACACTTAAGATTTGTGTATTTCGCCGAAGCCGGTTTGGCTCAGTGGTAGAGTGTCGGTCTGTGGACTAAAGGGTCCCAGGTTGGATTCCGGGCAAGGGCATGTACATTGGTAGG